CATAATTGTCCCTTGATACAGCCCTGTGACACTAACTCGTGTAAACAATTTGAAGCACATACAAGCGATCAACGAGTCTCTGACGTTTTTATTGATAAATACCAATTCGCAAAGATAAATATGAGACATTTCTCTTCTCACTTCTATCAGAGTCAGAGACTTGTCATCAATATGTGCTCAAAATTATCGGGATGTGGACCCATTCATAGTATATGATTCAAAGTTGACACAATAAGACTGTGATCACAACTTGGAAGTATGATTGGATGTAGATTGTAAAAGTAATAAGTTGCTATTAATGATTTAATAAATATTTAATTAATGATTTATCAGCATGTATTCTCCCGTCTTGCAAGTAAGTATCAATTTCAGCAGATCTTAATTAAATTTTTAAATGTAATCTTTAATCTTTGTTAGTTTTAATATTAGAGTGATTAATATTTTTTAAAACTATAGAAGCCTATAATGATAACTACTGAATGGGCTACTGAATGAAAAAGTGATATCTTTCACACTTGTAGGCAACACATGCAGATGAAAGGTTTTTTTAAAAAAAACAATTTTAATGATTTTTTTTAGCTTCATGTTTTTTAAAAATGCTCGGATAATGTCGAGCTTTGGAGCAACTTTAGAACTTATTCAATTAATTTTATTTTGTACTTATTAGTTATTGAAACATGATATGGAGGGTAGTGTCCACAAATATTTCAATTCATAATATGAAATCCCAGCCCTGTCCCCCATACTCTGATTTTAAAAGCCCATGCCATATAAGCGCAACTATAGGGGCTGGGGGGCTTAGCTTAGGTCCCTTAATACGGCCCTGTATATCTATGGTCAGCTCATTATTTGCTTTCCATCTTTGATCCACACGTAGCATACCTAATGTACGAATAACAGAACCAAAACGAAGTTGTTACTTTTAATGTTAGATTAAAAATATTAAGTTAAGAAGATTACATACGTCGTTACGTTGGTTACTTGATGATATTTTAATTATTATATAAGTTATGACTTATGATCGTCTAAATAATTACAATTTAAAAATGATTATAAACGATTGGACAAATCTAAAGAAAAAAAATTATAATTAATCTATTAAAAAATAAAAATATCTATATATTCATTATTAATACTTAAAGTATAACAATATATTCAATACGAAAAAAATAAATGAAAACTTAAATGTTATCCCAGGAAAAAATTAATTCAACAGTGAAAGGGTTAAAATATTCAAGTTTGATAATAGGTTAACTCAATCTAATATTAAAAGTAACAACACTAACCCAGTGATTTCTAGCGTACGGGTGAGGCGATCATTATTAGCCGAAAAATAAAATACCTAGTTCATTAAAATTTTTTAAACTTATCAGTTTTCGTTATATAGTCACTAATCATATTAGTAACTAATTTTCGTTTTTAATAATATTTAAATTATATACAAGAATAATTTAATATTTTAATAATATAATATTATAATATTTTTTACAATTATATAATATATTCAACATAAACAAGTTCTATTTTATTAAAAAAGTAAAGAAAATCTAAATTTTTTTGGTATTCAATTTTGAACAGTAAAGCAAAAAAAAATATTTGTGATTGGGAGTTTAGGTTAGCCTATCAACTATAAATTACTTATAAATATATATTTATTATAGTCCTTGAACCGGCTCTGGTTGATTCTGTTAAACGTAAATATGATTGTGCGTGGGTCAGAGAGAGAAATAAATGGTGCACTAAAAATCTGACATCCCTTATAAGTGTTATCAAGTTGAAGAACCTGTTGATTGTTGACAATTTAACATTTAACATTAACTGTGGTAGGTATGATTGTAAGTAAAAGTAATTAGCAGGGCTGTGAATTTAATTCATTAAAAAAAGTGTTAAATATTACACATGTATGCACTAAAAACAAGCAAAATATGATTTAAAATATGCACTGAAGTATTCAAAAATATGCACTTAAAATTCGAAAAAATACTGAATGAAAACGCGTTTATTAAAAACTGTTTAAATTAATAAATAATAATTAAAATTGGTATTCCAAAAAAAAAATGTTTACAATACAAAAAGAATCTAACATGGCCAAATCTTTTTTTCTTTGAGTTAAGAAATGATGAACTTTGAATTCCAGCTAAATTTGTGTTTCTTCTGTCAGTGAAGCATTGAGACTCATTTGAATTATCATTAACGAAATTGTCTGAAAGGCTGTTTTCTAGTAAATTGTTATAAAATTCGTCATCATCACTCTCGTCATTTTCTTCACTAGATGAACCAGAATTTGGACATGAATAACAGCACTTAATGTATTACATTCACTGACAAATAACTTTCTGAACAAACTTTTATATCTTATTGGTACCCAGTTCATTTTAAATTTTGGTTGGCTCATTGATGCTATAATAAATGCTTTACTCTTGGAACAGTTGGAACTGCTTAAGTTAAATAAATAATCAAATGGTTTTTTTAGATTTTGAATTATGCATAAACTTAATGGTTTACAATATACTCTATTTGTTGAGTTTAATAATAAAAGTCTTATGGACAAGGTTGTTGGAGCTACATATTCTAGATAACTTTTTTTTTCTTCTTGTAGTTTGTCCAGCGCAGATGCTAATGGCTCCATAACTTCACAATACTCTTTGAGAAACAGCCACTCAGTCGTTTTTAATTTATTTAATTTCAGTTCTTCAAATACGGGAATCAATTTTTCTTTATAAAATAATATTTTTTTTGCTGCATCATACATTGAGTTCCATCTTGTAATAACCGGTACGGGAAATTTTCAATTACACTTATCACTAGGGTTAGGATTTATATGCTCTAAAAAACTATTAAATATTCCCTAAAAAATATGCTGATATGTTGTAAAAATTACTTAAATATGCTCCAAAAAAAGTTGGTATATGCATTTATAAAAAAAAATTATGTAAAAACGTTTATTCAAAAAATTAGAGGTTAAAACAATTTTAAAATGCTAAATATTTAAATTATAAGTAAAATAATAAAATAGTATTTATATATTAAATTTTTGATGGTTTTGATAGTCGATTTAGTTCTTTTTCTGTAACAGAACCAAATCAAAAATATATTTACAACGTTTAAAACATCATTTTTAATTTAACTGACTTACCAACCAAATTAAATTGAATTCAATCTTAAAAATGTCGATGAATAAAAAATTGAAGAAAAAACATTTCATTCATTTTCTGTAACAAAATTGAATAAATTATTTACTTTAGATATTTATTTTATTTTAAAATTAATTTTTTCAATTGACTTACCATTAAAATGTGAATTGCATTGGATAATCAACGTCTTTTTCAAGTTTTCGAAGATGAAAATTGTTCTTGTCCGCTATATCACGCGCGTTTAAAATTGGGTGAACATTTACGGCGATTGAAAACCAAAATTTTTACAAATAAACTCAAAAATATGCATTAAAAATCCAAAATGCTAAAATAATCATGACTTTTAAAAAATCTTCAAAATATGCAAAAATATGCAAAATAAAAATAGCACATTTTTAATTCCCAGTATATGAAACAGATTTTTATCTTACTAAGCTATCTTTTGGACTCACTAAAAAAATATGCGAAATGCTACAACATCCTAACCCTACTTATCACTTACTGTATCTGAAGCTGCAGTAGGTACTTCTACTGACCAGATTCCAAAACTTAAACAGTTTTTCAAACGTAGCTTTTGAAATTTGTAAATAAGATCTGTCAGTTATTTTTACATTGTCTGTTGTAGCAATCAAATTCAGATTATGAGCGCAACATTTCATATGATCAGGCAGGCGAATACTAATATCTTCATAATGTTCATTTGATTCTACAAAAAGTAAAGGATATAAATCAACATGTCTTTTGCCCCCATCTGTTGAAACCCAAATATACTTGATAATCAGTACCTACTCAGCTTGACTTTTCAAGTAGGTCTATTATACCTACTTAGTAGTTTAATAAATGTAATACAATGTAATATTATCCTGCAATCCTGCAGTTCAGTAGGTCCTACTAATATGATTATGTACCTATATTATAATTTATAACATAATATAGGTAGTGGCCACTAGCCAGTAGATATATTACAATATTATTATAGTAACTACAAAATCATAAAAGTAAATTAAATAATATTCATAGGTATTTTTTAATTTTTGTCCAACGTGTTGACCTACTATCAAAGTATGATTTAAAATGATAGTTGTTATTATAATTTATTTTGATTATTAAAATGCAGAACTCAATAAATTCAAAATTGGCACAATTATTTCTATAACTCATAATTTAGGACATTTCAGCTCACAGTACACAGCCCATTCACATGTAATTGCAGGGGGACCGGTGAGAATTTAGCGATACCACCTACTAATTACTATAGTACTATATACAGATATACTATACTATATGACTAGTATATGTATAAAATACATATTATATAATAGGTACATTTGATACATTGTGTTGAATGCAAAAAAAAAAATATTAAGAACTGTGATAATTAACTAATAAAATCTATAATAATCCTAAAATAACAATGTATAAATGTAGTAATAAATACAAAAACTTACTTTAATGTGGCTTAAAAAGTTTCCACTTGAATTAGTTGATCCATTTACAACTTTTTGGCAGTTTTGACATATAACTGACAATTTTTTACATTCCACGTTTAATACTTTATAAAAATCATTAAACAAGTATTTAAAACTAGGGGCTTCAAGAGGAGCTTGGTTAGGTGTTGATTGTGGGTCGTCAACACTCAACATTTTCTTCAGTTTCCACCGCTGCCAAATCTAGACGAATTTTGTTCGTAAGAAAACGGTCCATAATATTGTACAGCTTCAATGCTTGAAATATTGAAGTACCTATATTAGAAAATGGCTAATATTAATAGGTATTCTATTAATAATAGTTCCTATTTCGTACTTACCTCTTGTTACAATATTCAAATATTGACATTTGACATAATATCACACCATATTAAAAATATATAGGTAGATAATTACTTTATCTATTGCATTACCTTACCTCTAGTCCTCGTCTTACCCTGCAGGTTTCCCTATAAAATACTTTTATTGTAATAATTCAATAATTGTTCAAATGTTTATTAAAGTACATTATTAAAAATTAACTAAAGTTTAATATAATACATTATAACAAGTGTTCAAATGTACAAGTCACACCACATATTTTGTTACTTCACACAGTCTCTCTTTAATTTCAAATTTTTCTTCAAGTTATCC